TGGTGATGGTGGTGGTGGTGGTGATGGTGGTGGTGATGGTGGTGGTGGTGATGGTGGTGGTGGTGGTGATGGTGGTGGTGGTGGTGGTGATGGTGGTGATGGTGGTGGTGGTGGTGATGGTGGTGGGTGGTGGTGATGGTGGTGGTAGTGGTGATGGTGATGGTGGTGGTGATGGTGGTGGTGATGGTGGTGGTAATTGTGGTGGTGGTGGTGATGGTGGTGATGGTGGTGGTGATGGTGGTGGTGGTGATGGTGCTGGTGGTGATGGTGATGGTGGTGGTGATGGTGGTGGTGGTGGTGGTGATGGTGGTGATGGTGGTGGTGATGATGGTGGTGATGGTGGTGATGGTGGTGGTGATGGTGGTGGTGGTGATGGTGGTGGTGATGGTGGTGGTGATGGTGGTGGTGATGGTGGTGGTGGTGGTGGTGATGGTGGTGATGGTGGTGATGGTGGTGGTGATGGTGATGGTGGTGATGGTGATGGTGGTGGTGGTGGTGGTGATGGTGGTGGTGATGGTGGTGGTGATGGTGGTGATGGTGGTGGTGGTGATGGTGGTGATGGTGGTGGTGGTGATGATGGTGGTGGTGGTGGTGATGGTGGTGGTGATGGTGGTGATGGTGGTGGTGGTGATGGTGGTGGTGATGGTGGTGGTGATGGTGGTGGTGATGGTGTGGTGGTGGTGATGGTGGTGGTGGTGGTGGTGATGGTGATGGTGGTGGTAATGGTGGTGGTGATGGTGGTGGTGGTGGTGATGGTGGTGGTGATGGTGGTGGTGGTGATGGTGGTGGTGGTGGTGATGGTGGTGGTGGTGATGGTGGTGATGGTGGTGGTGGTGATGGTGGTGATGGTGGTGGTGATGGTGGTGGTAGTGGTGATGGTGATGGTGGTGGTGATGGTGGTGGTGATGGTGGTGGTGATGGTGGTGGTGGTGGTGATGGTGGTGATGGTGGTGGTGATGGTGGTGGTGGTGATGGTGGTGGTGATGGTGGTGATGGTGATGGTGGTGGTGATGGTGGTGGTGGTGGTGATGGTGGTGATGGTGGTGGTGATGGTGGTGGTGGTGATGGTGTGGTGGTGATGGTGGTGGTGATGGTGGTGGTGGTGATGGTGGTGGTGGTGGTGGTGATGGTGGTGATGATGGTGGTGGTGGTGGTGGTGATGGTGGTGGTGATGGTGGTAGTGGTGGTGATGGTGGTGGTGATGATGGTGGTGGTGGTGGTGATGGTGGTGGTGATGGTGGTGGTGATGGTGGTGATGGTGGTGGTGGTGATGGTGGTGATGGTGTGGTGGTGGTGATGATGGTGGTGGTGGTGGTGATGGTGGTGGTGATGGTGGTGGTGGTGATGGTGGTGGTGATGGTGGTGGTGGTGGTGATGGTGGTGGTGGTGATGGTGGTGGTGGTGGTGATGGTGATGGTGGTGGTAATGGTGGTGGTGGTGATGGTGGTGGTGGTGGTGATGGTGGTGGTGATGGTGGTGGTGGTGATGGTGGTGGTGGTGGTGGTGATGGTGGTGGTGGTGGTGGTGATGGTGGTGATGGTGGTGGTGGTGGTGATGGTGGTGATGGTGGTGGTGATGGTGGTGGTATGTGTGATGGTGATGGTGGTGGTGATGGTGGTGGTGGTGGTGATGGTGGTGGTGGTGGTGGTGGTGATGGTGGTGATGGTGGTGGTGATGGTGGTGGTGGTGATGGTGGTGGTGATGGTGGTGATGGTGATGGTGGTGGTGATGGTGGTGGTGGTGGTGGTGATGGTGGTGATGGTGGTGGTGATGATGGTGGTGATGGTGGTGATGGTGGTGGTGATGGTGGTGGTGGTGATGGTGGTGGTGATGGTGGTGGTGATGGTGGTGGTGATGGTGGTGGTGGTGTGGTGATGGTGGTGATGATGGTGGTGGTGGTGGTGGTGGTGATGGTGGTGGTGATGGTGGTAGTGGTGGTGATGGTGGTGATGATGGTGGTGGTGGTGGTGATGGTGGTGGTGATGGTGTGGTGATGGTGGTGATGGTGGTGGTGGTGATGGTGGTGATGGTGGTGGTGGTGGTGATGATGGTGGTGGTGGTGGTGATGGTGGTGGTGATGGTGGTGGTGGTGATGGTGGTGGTGATGGTGGTGGTGATGGTGGTGGTGGTGGTGATGGTGGTGGTGGTGGTGATGGTGGTGGTGGTGGTGATGGTGATGGTGGTGGTAATGGTGGTGGTGGTGATGGTGGTGGTGGTGGTGATGGTGGTGGTGATGGTGGTGGTGGTGATGGTGGTGGTGGTGGTGATGGTGGTGGTGGTGGTGGTGATGGTGGTGATGGTGGTGGTGGTGGTGATGGTGGTGATGGTGGTGGTGATGGTGGTGGTAGTGGTGATGGTGATGGTGGTGGTGATGGTGGTGGTGGTGATGGTGGTGGTAATGGTGGTGGTGGTGGTGATGGTGGTGATGGTGGTGGTGATGGTGGTGGTGGTGATGGTGCTGGTGGTGATGGTGATGGTGGTGGTGATGGTGGTGGTGGTGGTGGTGATGGTGGTGATGGTGGTGGTGATGATGGTGGTGATGGTGGTGATGGTGGTGGTGGTGGATGGTGGTGTGATGGTGGTGGTGATGGTGGTGGTGATGGTGGTGGTGGTGGGTGATGGTGGTGGTGGTGGTGGTGATGGTGGTGATGGTGGTGATGGTGGTGGTGATGGTGATGGTGGTGATGGTGATGGTGGTGGTGGTGATGGTGGTGATGGTGGTGGTGGTGGTGATGGTGATGGTGGTGATGGTGGTGATGGTGGTGGTGGTGATGGTGGTGGTGGTGATGGTGGTGGTGATGGTGGTGGTGATGATGGTGGTGATGGTGGTGGTGGTGATGGTGGTGGTGGTGGTGATGGTGGTGATGGTGGTGATGGTGGTGGTGGTGATGGTGGTGGTGGTGGTGATGGTGGTGATGGTGATGGTGGTGATGGTGGTGGTGGTGGTGGTGATGGTGGTGGTGATGGTGGTGGTGATGGTGGTGATGGTGGTGATGGTGGTGGTGATGGTGGTGGTGGTGGTGATGGTGGTGATGGTGATGGTGGTGGTGGTGGTGATGGTGGTGGTGGTGGTGATGGTGGTGGTGATGGTGGTGATGGTGGTGGTGATGGTGGTGGTGGTGATGGTGGTGGTGATGGTGGTGATGGTGATGGTGGTGGTGATGGTGGTGGTGATGGTGGTGGTGATGGTGGTGATGGTGGTGGTGATGATGGTGGTGGTGATGGTGGTGATGGTGGTGGTGATGGTGGTGGTGGTGATGGTGGTGGTGATGGTGGTGGTGATGGTGGTGGTGGTGATGGTGGTGGTGTGGTGGTGGTGGTGATGGTGGTGGTGATGGTGGTGATGGTGGTGGTGATGGTGATGGTGGTGATGGTGTGGTGGTGGTGATGGTGGTGATGGTGGTGATGGTGGTGGTGATGGTGATGGTGGTGATGGTGGTGTGGTGATGGTGGTGGTGGTGGTGATGGTGGTGGTGGTGATGGTGGTGGTGATGGTGGTGGTGGTGGTGATGGTGGTGATGGTGGTGGTGATGGTGGTGATGTGGTGGTGATGGTGGTGATGGTGATGGTGGTGATGGTGGTGGTGATGGTGGTGATGGTGGTGATGGTGGTGGTGATGGTGGTGGTGGTGGTGATGGTGGTGATGGTGATGGTGGTGGTGATGGTGGTGGTGGTGGTGATGGTGGTGGTGATAGTGATGGTGGTGGTGGTGGTGGTGATGGTGATGGTGGTGATGGTGGTGATGGTGGTGATGGTGGTGGTAATGGTGGTGGTGGTGGTGATGGTGGTGGTGATGGTGGTGGTGATGGTGGTGGTGATGGTGGTGATGGTGGTGGTGATGGTGGTGGTGGTGGTGATGGTGGTGGTGATGGTGGTGGTGATGGTGGTGGTGATGGTGGTGGTAATGGTGGTGGTGGTGGTGATGGTGGTGATGGTGGTGGTGATGGTGGTGGTGGTGATGGTGGTGGTGATGGTGGTGATGGTGATGGTGGTGGTGATGGTGGTGGTGGTGGTGATGGTGGTGATGGTGGTGGTGATGATGGTGGTGGTGATGGTGGTGATGGTGGTGGTGATGGTGGTGGTGATGGTGGTGGTGATGGTGGTGGTGGTGGTGGTGATGGTGGTGATGGTGGTGGTGGTGATGGTGGTGATGGTGGTGGTGGTGGTGGTGGTGATGGTGGTGGTGGTGGTGGTGATGGTGGTGATGGTGGTGGTGGTGATGGTGGTGATGGTGGTGGTGGTGATGATGTTGATGATGATGTTGGTGATGTTGATGTTGGTAGTGATGTTGTTGTTGATGTTGCTGATGATGCTGATGATGATGTTGATGATGTTGGTGATGATGATGATGATGTTGATGATGATGTTGATGATAATGGTGATGTTGTTGATGGTGATGTGGATGTTGTTGATGATGTTGGTGATGATGATGATGATGATGGTGATGTTGATGTTGTTGATAATGGTGATGGTGATGTTGATGTTGCTGATGATGATGGTGATGTTGGTGATGTTGTTGATAATGGTGATGGTGATGTTGATGTTGCTGATGATGATGCTGATGATGATGATGTTGCTGATGATGATGCTGATGATGATGGTGATGATGATGATGGTGATGATGGTGATGTTGATGATAATGGTGATTTTGATGTTGCTGATGATGATGGTGATGTTGGTGATGTTGTTGATGTTGCTGATGAAGATGCTGATGATGTTGACGATGTTGATGTTGGTAGTGATTATGTTGATGTTGCTGATGATGATGCTGATGATGTTTGTGATGTTGTTAGTGATGTTGATGTTGCTGATGATGATGCTGATGTTGGTAGTGATGATGATGATGTTGATGATGATGCTGATGATGTTTGTGATGTTGATATTGGTAGTGATGATGATGTTGGTAGTGATGTTGATGATGATGCTGATGATGATGTTGTTGATGTTGGTAGTGATGATGATGATGCTGATGATGATGATGCTGATGATGTTGTTGGTAGTACTCTTACCTACTGACGAGCCAGCTGGAGTCACAGCGGATCTATTGGGAGGGGAAGCTGACACGTCTAGAGAAAGACTTCTCAGAGGAGGTGAGACACAGAGACACAGACACACACAGAGACACACAGAGAGACACACACAGACACAGAGACACACACAGAGACACACAGACACAGAGACACACACGTCTAGAGAAAGACTTCTCAAAGGAGGTGAGACACAGAGACACAGAGACACACACAGAGACACACACAGAGACACACACACAGAGACACACACAGAGACACACACAGAGACACACAGAGACACACAGAGACACAGACACACACAGAGACACACACAGACACACACAGAGACACACAGAGACACAGAGACACACACACGTCTAGAGAAAGACTTCTCAGAGGAGGTGAGACACACACACAGATACACACACACAGAGACACACACAGAGACACGCACACACACACACAGAGACACAGACACACACAGAGACACACACAGACACACACAGAGACACAGAGACACAGAGACACACAGAGACACAGACACAACAACAACAACCGCCATTCGCCACTAAGTGGCGGTGACGTCACCACGACGCTTGTGCCAGGCTATGTGCACCCTGAGGCCACGTGAAGTGTCGAACGCCCGCTGGCAGGAGGTCACGGGGCAGACCCAGGTGCCACGGGTCGACTGACTGAGATGACTGGCTGATGCACCACCTGTGCCCCCTACTGTGCCAACCTGCTGTGCTTTAGCCACCCGGCGCTCCGCTCGCTGTTGTGAGCGTCGCTCCTCCGCCCTCCGTTGTTGTTGGAGGGCGACTGCCTCCAACTGCCCAGTAGCATCCTTCACGAGCCTCCTCCACAGAGGCCGATCTTGACACCGCTGGTACCAGTCATCGGCAAGTCCACTCAGCTCCACGTCCTCCTGTACCACATCACTCCATCTCTTCTCTAGCCCGTGCCGCGCCCGCTTAGCCCCCTCAATCCGGCCAAACAAAAGCTGTTTCGGCATGCGGTGGCTGGGCATGCGGGCTACATGACCCAGCCATCGCAGCCTTGCCTGCCGGAGGAGCTCACCGATGGGACCCTGCCCAGATCTTTCAAGGATTTGTGAGCTCCTCACACAATCCAGTCTGGTTAAACCCAGGATGGATCGTAGGCAGGTCAGCCTAAATGTTTCAAACCGGCGAAGATGTTCCATTAGGGGGGTCCACGTTTCGCAAGCGTAGAGAAGGGAGGGAATGACTGTGGCCGAGAAGACCTGAAGCTTAGTGCGGAGCGACAGACCAGGTAGCTTCCACACAGCGTTACGCAACCGATGAAAAGATATTGCCGCTCGACTGATTCGGAGTGAGACCTCTGCTGTTAAACTGGAGCCAGTCATAAGCACACTGCCCAGGTATGGGAAACTCTCCACTCTCTCCACAACTGCCCCATCACCGATTGGGAGTTGTGGGGGTGGAGTGTCCGATGGTACAAAATACCCAGGCAGGTGCTTAGTTTTGGTGGGGCTGATGGTAAGGCCCCACCTCTTAGTGGCACGCTCCAGTCTCAGCAGCAGCGTCTCCAACTCCTCCTCTGACTGAGCAGCTATTACCAAGTCATCAGCATACATAACGTGGTTGAGCAATAGGGAGCCATCCCTTGACCGCACCCGGGCATCGATTAGCCTCCCATTATATCTGTACCATATGGAGATTCCCCCGGTACAGCTATTGAAGGCTTCACGAACTACGTGGTCAAAATAGATGTTAAATAATGTGGGAGCCAGAGGACATCCCTGTCGCACCCCAAGGTGTACAGGGAATGGCTCTGACTCCCGGCCACGTAGTTTTACCCGGGCCCGCTCACCATCATGAAGGTCCTTAATGATCGTGAGCAGAGGGTCAGGTACTCCAAAAGCACGAAGAACGACCCAGAGCCCAGGCCTACTGATGGTATCATAGGCCTTGACCAGGTCAATAAAGCAGAGATGTAGGTCTTGTTGGAATTCCCTACACCTCTGCTGTAGCAGACAGACAGAAAATATGGCATCTGTGCAGGACCGCCCTTTCCTGAAACCGCATTGGGGCTCCGCAAGCCTCTCCTCAGCGTGCCTGGCAAGGCGATGCTGAATAATCCTTGCCAGGACCTTTCCCGGCACACTGAGGAGTGAGATGCCCCTGTAGTTGTTACAGTCTGTGCGGTCCCCCTTCTTAAAAAGGGGGACCACCAGGGCATCCTTCCAATCCTGCGGAACCTGTCCAGTGGTCCAGACTGTTGTTATGATGTCATATAGGGCAGTCTGTGCACAAACGCCACCCTCCCTCAGCATTTCGCTTGGGAGATCATCTCTGCCCGCTGCCTTTCCTGGTCTCAGACTCCGGATCGCCTTCAATACTTCCTCAGCAGATGGCACCTCAGCCAGCCACTCACAGGGGGTGACTTCATCCAATATTTGAGGCACCGCAGCCTCAGCAGGGTCATCCTCACTTTGTGCCACGATGTTTTCCTGGCTGAGGGATTTTCCCTCCCCCAGGACCTCACAGAAATGCTCAGCAAATCTGCGAACCTGTTCCTGGGGTCGGAGATTGGATCACCGTTTTTTCCCCTAATGATGGTAATAGGTGTGGCGCTGCAGGTTACTTTTTTGATGGAGTTAAATAGCGATTTGTGATCACGGGCCACTGAGGCAGACTCCATCTCCTCAGCAACCCGCGACCACCACCCATCCTTGCAGCGCCTCACGGCTCTCCGAACCTCCGAGCGAAGGCTGCGGTAAGCCTCCTCATTCTCTGATGTGGGATTCTGTAGCCGATGACAGTGGGCCTGTCGCTTTTTCTCAACCATCCTGAACACCTCCTCTGTCATCCAGGGTGTCTGGGGAGGTCTGGACCGCGTACCCAAAGCAGCCATTGCAGCTGCATGAGTCACAGTCCTAAACCTCGCCCATTTACCCTCGACATCAGGAGGAGTCGGGGACGATGCCAATCCCAGCCGCAAGCGATGATGAAATTCTCGCTTGCAACTTTCATCAGATAACTGAGACCAGGCCACTTTAGGTTGGAATGGGGTCCTGGGTGTACACCCACCACCGGAGTGGAAGAATGGCAGGCGCATCTTACAGATGACTAGTCGATGGTCAGAGGGCAGATCAGCTCCACGGTAGGTCCTGGTGTCAAGGACATGGGCTCGCATTCGCTGGTCCGTCACTATGTAGTCCAGCAGATGTTCTTGCTTGGACCCGGCATGCATCCATGATGTTGTGTGGATGCGCCGATGCCGGAACAGCGTGTTGGTAATTACAAGCCCATGGGCTGCACAAAAAATCTAGCAGCCTCCTACCGTTGTTATTGAGCTGATCTGGCCCATGCCCTCCAATCACTCCAGACCAGGTGCCAGTATCATGACCAACTCGGGCATTGAAGTCACCCAACATGATGACTCTATCCCGAGGGGCCACTTTAGCCAGCACCTGTGACAGGAGGTCATAGAAGGCATCTGACTCATCGGCTTTGCCTGCATCCCTCCACGGATGTTCATCTTCGGTGGGGGCATAAGTAACCACGACCACCATTCCTCGCCTCCGGTTGATGGGAAGGCGAGCCCAAAGTAGCCTGGGGCTTACAGCTTCCCACACCTCACCGCCACGCTCCCACGCCCCCTTCATTCTTTTGTTCAAAAGAAGACCCACACCCTGTTGTTTGGCAGTCTGCTGCCCCGAGTAGAGGACTGTCCACCCCTCATGGTGGCAGGAGCCAGAGCCGGTCCACCGGACCTCCTGAATGCCGCATAGATCCAGGCGGTACCGGTCCAGCTCCCGACAGAGGAGTGGCAGCCTCTCCTCTGCAGTGAGCGTTCGAACATTCCACGTGGCCACCCGTAGTGGCTTTTCGTTGTTTCTGGAGTAGCCCCGAGGGTAGGTATTCAATCTCCTGGCTCCGCCAATTGGGGTTTGGCCAGGAGACGTCATAGACGCCTGGCCCCCCGGGGCCTCCGGCACAAGCTTAGTTGTTACATATTTCACTTTAATTCGTGGTTTTGTGGTAATTAATTGAAGGTGGAGGGGTTACCAGCCCCTCGCACCCGTCCAGAGCCCCCGTTTAGCCCCTGTGGTGGACACATATGCCATGAGGGGAGGAGCCAATCAAAATTGGAACTCCCCCCACAGCACTGTCCACGACAGAGTTGCCCGTCCGGCACCGCGAGGAGGTAGGGGGTTGTTTTTGCCGACACAGACACACACACAGAGACACACACAGAGACACAGAGACACACACAGACACACACGTCTAGAGAAAGACTTCTCAGAGGAGGTGAGACACACACACAGAGACACAGAGACACAGAGACACACACAGAGACACACAGAGACACACAGACACACAGAGACACACACAGAGACACACAGAGACACACAGAGACACACACAGAGACACACAGAGACTCACACAGAGACACACAGAGACACACACAGAGACACACAGAGACACACACAGAGACACACACACAGACACACACAGAGACACACACACAGAGACACAGAGACACACACAGAGACACACACAGAGACACACACAGAGACACACAGAGACACAGAGACACAGAGACACAGATACACTCACACAGAGACACACTTAGAGACACACACACACACAGACACACAGAGACACACACACACACACGTCTAGAGAAAGACTTCTCAGAGGAGGTGAGACACACACAGACACACACACAGAGACACACACAGAGACACACACATAGACACACACAGAGACACACACATAGACACACACAGAGACACACACAGAGACACACAGAGACACACACAGAGACACACAGAGACACACACAGAGACACAGAGACACACACAGAGACACACACAGAGACACTCACAGAGACACACACAGAGACACACACAGAGACACACACAGAGACACACAGACACACACAGAGACACACACAGAGACACCCACAGAGACACACACAGAGACACCCACAGAGACACCCACAGAGACACACACAGAGACACACACAGAGACACACACAGAGACACTCACAGAGACACACACAGAGACACACACAGAGACACACACAGAGAC